TAGGAACCAACTTCCTTAACAAGACTCCAAAATACTAGAAATAAAATAAAATATCAATAAATGGGGTGGTATCAAACTAAAAAGCTTCTTCAATCAAGTGCATGAATGGAGAGAGTCTACAGAATGAGAGAATATCTTTGACATCTGCACCTCAGTCAGATGGTAGGAGGGTTAATTTTCAGGATATATAAAGAACTCAAAAAACTTAACACCAAAATAATAATAATAACAACAACAACAATAATAACAACAACAAACAATCACCCAATCAATAAGTGGGTAACGGAACCGAACAGGCACTTCACAGAAGAAGAAATATGAATGTTAACAAATATATGGAAAAATGTTCAATAGCTCTAGCAATTAGAGAAATGCAAATTAAAACTACACTGAGATTTCATGTCACTCCAGTCAGAATGACAATTATTGAGAATACAAGTAACAATAAATGTGAGGATGTGGGGGAAAGGTTCACCCATACATTATTGGTGAGACTGCAAATTGGGGAAAACACTTTGGAAGCTAGGATGGTGATTCCTCAAACACCTAGGAGTGGAACCACCATTTGACCCAGTTATCCCACTCCTCGGCATATACCCAAAGGATTTAAAATCGGCATCTACAGTGACACATCCACGTTAATGTTTATAGCAGCTCAATTCACAATAGCTAAGCTATGGAGCTGGCCTAGGTGCCCTTCAACAGATGAATAGGTAAAGAAAATGTGGTATATATACACAATGGAGATTACTCAGCCATTAAGAAGAGTGAGATTATGGCATATGCCAGGAACTGGATGGATCTGGAGATTATCATGCTAAATCAAATAAGCCAATCCCCGCAAACCAAAGATCAAATGTTTTCATTGATATGTGGAAGCTAATCCACAGGCGGGGAGGGGAAGACTAGCAATTCAGAAGATTAACAACGTGAATGGAGGGAAGGGAGAGGGATGGGAAAAGAAAGTCAGTGGAATGAATCTGACCTAATTTTCCTATGTGTACATATATGAAAACACCACAGTGAATCCTACCATCACGTGTATCCACAAGAATGGGTTCTTAATTAGAACAAGATACATTTCATCCTTGTATATTTATATCAAAACAGATTCTACTGTCATGTATAACTAAAAGGAACAACAACAAAAAATGTTTAGTTTCAAGTCATAGGTGTGAAAGTGCCATCGGACTCAGCGCATGACTTGACCGGCAGAGCAAAAGTGCTTGATCCCGGTGTTTCTGGGCCAGCTCCACAAGACGGAGCCTGTCCTGGGGAAGGGGCGTTGTGTGTGCGCTCCACAGGGCCAAACCTTCACTTTATGACTCTGAAAGTCTGGCAGTTATTCTTGTCTGCCCAGCACGCCTGTGAGTGTGCATTCTTAGAGTTCTAGAATATTTGAGAGCCTCATTCTTCAAAGTGAGTCTGCGTTTAGTTCCACAGCCAAGTAAAGCAACCCAACCAGGTGGCAAAACTCCAGGCTATGACTGCTGTGGGCAGGGGAGGCCGACCGGGCTGTTCCATCCCTGGCTTGGCCTGTGAAACGAGAGCACATGTGTTTGCTTATTTAATAGAGTTTCTGTCGGGCCAAATTCCTGTAACCACGAAATACGACCCGGGAATCCGCACAGTATTTGAGGGTAGATGTTGCCAGCAATAGATGCTGAGTCACGTGGCTCCCTGGGTGAGTCCTAGGATAAACCCTGGAGGTTGCTGTAGTGACATCTAGCCAGTTTCACTCTTCCCAGTGACCCACATGCCTACTTCAAGGTCATCATGTGCACCACATCCTGATTGTGGAGGTTGGAAGCTCCAGGCGTCCCCAGTCTATAGAAGAAAGCTTGACCTGAAGATATCGCCTGCGTCCATAGAGGACATGCCGAGCTGACAGCAAGGTGAATGCTCTCATGATTAGGGTTGTGTGTGTGTGTGTGTTTCATTCATTGAGAGTAAAACTAATTTAGCCCAGCTTGGTGGTACATGCCAGCAGGTCTGGAGGCTGAGGCAGGAGGATAGCGAGTTCAAAGTCAGCCTCAGCAACTTAGCAAGGCCCTAAGCAACTCAGTGAGACCTGTCTCTAAATAAAATACAAAATAGGGCTGGGGATGTGGCTCAGTGGTTGGGTGCCCTTGAGTTCAATCCCTGGTGTCAAACAAACAAAACAACAAACAAACAAACAAAACTAATTTCAATGGGCCAGTGCTTACATCTATTGGTCTCAGAACCATACATTAGTCCAGAATTGCATTTGCCCTGCCCTGGAAGCGATCCCACCTGAGAGCACACCTGTATGGAAACACACATATAAAACAGAACTGTTACAGAAGCAGTACCATGGGACAGACGTGATAATTATAAGCCCTTGACCCTCATCCTCTCATGCTTAGTCTAACGTAAGACAATTGGATGGAAAGGGTGTGTGTACGTATGGATTGCATTTCAGAAGACAAAATAAATCCAAATAAAAATAAGCAAGCCCTGATGAGGTTCATTTATACAGCCATCACCAGCCCTGCAGAGGTGTCACGTAAGCACCACGGGCCCTGCGGAGCGCGCACACACAACGCACTTGTACTTTCCAAAGGTCTTTCAATCCAGGAAACCTGATCCACAAGAAAGGGAGGCTGGGCCTCACCTGTTCTGCCCGAGGCTTCACAGACTGTAAACTGCGCCATCAGGCTGGAGTTTGCCACAGCCCCTCGCCTGGTTCCCTGGACCTTCTGAGATTTCATTTAATAGGTATCATCCTTGAGCACCAAGTGTTCAGGACTCAGTCCCTGCCCCACAAATTCTTTATTGCCCATGGCACTCAAAGCGACAGTGCCACATCCAGGCACAATAGGGACTGCATGCTTCCAACTGTGGGCACAGGAGGACTGGCAGGGTTAGTCTGAGGGTCCCCACTGGCTGAGAGGATGGCTATGCTGGGCAAAAGCAAAATTTCTTAAGCAAGTTCCCCGGGAGGACTCAGAGAGGAGGTCTGAGGAGCCAAGGAAGGAAGGTGCATGCTCGGGCACCTCGGACCATCCCAGAGAGATGGGGAGAAGGGGCCAGGGCCTTCTAGGGCCTTCTTCCCTGTGTGCAGCTGGCAGGAGGAGGAGCAGAGTCCCTGGGCTCTCCCTGAGCGTTGCCATGGGAACGGCGGGCAGGGAGGTGTGCTGCATCTATTTCTATGGCTCCTATCACCATGGCACCTACTTGCTCTGAAAAACACAGCTAAAAACAGAACGCGAACAAGAGGGGGACAACACTCCCTGCAGTCACCTTCGGCAGTGGTTCTCATACCTTGTGATTGCTCACGCCGGCCTTTTCCGTTCGGAGGGTCCATGTTTTTGCTGTCTGTGACCTTAAAAAACAAGGGGTTCACTATTCACATCAGCGCCACTGTGATGGTGAGGTGGCTTAGGTTCCAGAAAGTTCCCACTGGATTTGCTGCAGGGAGACGTTTCTCAAATGAGCTCACACAGGAAGTGGCTTGTTCAGGGCCCCACGTCAGGCGATTTGGGGACAGGGAAGAAGTAGGGAGTGAAGGAGAGGGACCGTGGTGTCCACGGGCACAGATGACTCAAGAAAAGGCCTGTGCTGATTCACCAAGGAGGGTCGGGAGTTTTCCTGGGAACACACTGGAAACTCACTCCCCAGAGAGATCCACAGGCCAAATCCCTTCCCTGAAAGTCTTCCTGAAATTATCAACTATGCTTCCTAATAAAGCACTCAGCTCGTCTCCACAGTCAGACAGAACTTGACTTCAATCCTGACTTGGCCACTCGCTCGCCACGTGAGATCTGTGGGGCCCTCGAGAGCCAAAGGGTGCGCCCCTCCCGGGGACACGCTGCTTCCTGTGACCTCGGCCTTCCTGGTCCTCCCTTGGTTTTCTCATCTATAAAACAGAGATAATAATAGCAGCTGTCTCTGGTGGTGGCTCTGCGGTGGCATCAGGAGGGAAGACACACGAAGCCCCTGGGATGTGGCAAATGCTCAGTAACTGCTGGAGACGCGGCTGTGAGGAGGACAGCAGTGACAGCTGGGCCCACAGGGTGCTCAGGGGCTGCCGGTCATGTTCCCCCAGGCCTGACTTCCCGTCCTCCGTCTTGGGGTGGCAGCGACACGGGGCCTAGTGTACAAGTAGCCCCCTGCCTTCGGACTCTCACACTCATTGGTGTCCCTGGGCATAAGGCTTTGAAGTGGGTGATTCCGTGGGGAGGGTCATCAGCCTAAGCACTTGAGTGACCCAGAGGACAAAGGACATGTCCTGGGGAAAATCCCAACATGGTGACCTGCCTGCGGCTTTGGAGTCAACAGCTCTGACTGAGGGCTCTGTCCTCCCTCTGCCTACTTGTCATGTGGCTCTGAACAAGTCACTTGACTTCTTTTTCCTTCCCCGTGAAGCGGGGCGAATGGCTGGTCGGAGCTGGAAGGGAACCTGGGAGAGAGGTTCTCCCGCGCAGCCGCACACGGGGCTCTCAGGACTGCAGGCTCATCTAGTCCCCACCACCGCAGCAGAAGGCAGAGCGAAGGCTCCACGTGATGAAGATTAGCCTCACTAACCGGAGGAGACAGGCCCATCTCCTGAACGGGCATTAAACTCCCAGGGTCACACCAAGCCAGGCCCAGAGCCAGGACGGCCTCTTCAGTGCCCCCAGGGCCCTCTCACAGGCTCCATTTCTCACTCTCATGCCACACAGTCGGTGGGCTGCTCTCATCCATAGCTCACACCTTCGCTGTTGAGGTCATCACGGCTGTCTCCCCGCCTAGCCCTGCTCCCATCAGAACTCCCACCTCCACAGGGAGATCCCTGTGCTCCCAAGGGACCGAACTCCACTCAAAGAACAGCCCTGCACAGGTGTTATGACTTAATCTAAGCCAGGTAGCTAATTCTGTCGCTCTGCACACGGGGATTGACAGATGTGACCTGAGGTGTTCCAATCCGAATGACTCTCAGGACTCTTCCCAGTCGTGGGGGATGAGAGACGAGCCTGGGGCTGGTCCAGCGATCTTACCGTGATGAGCAAAGCCAGCGCCATAAACCGGCACACAGAGGAGCCTCAGCAGAAAGAACTCAGCTGGGGCTGTGGTGGCATTCTGAACGTCTGGACAGGACCACAGCCCAAACTTGCCCTACCTCTGATTTTCTTAGTTCTATGAATCAACAGATTCTATTTCTGTTTAAATGGATTTAAGTTGGCTTTTCTGTAAAGTCAGGTTGGCAGTGGCTGGAACGCTGCTTCCTCTCTGCAGTTTGAGAGTCTTCACCACCTTCAAGCTCAGTCCCAAGGTCAGTTTGTAACGGGGTGCACTCATGCTTTGAGTCGGATCCTTGCTTAACTTAAATCCTATATGTTTCCTCCTTTTTCTTCCTCTCCTTCTCTCGCTGCAGGACAGCCAAGCCGGGGAAGCAGGAGTAACATTTTCCCCTCCTAGGCAGAGCTATTGTGTCCTTGGCCGCCCTGAGCATGAGAATGAAGAAATCCAGACCTGGGAGCTGGTGCCAATGGGTTTGAGGACTGAACTATCTCAAGGACACCATCTGGACATGAATGATGTCTCCTGATCGGTGCCCTCAGAACCTCGACCCTGAATTTCTCTTTAAAAAACTCTTTGCTCCTCCTTGCAGTCAGGAGAGTAGCCTTGCGTCCTTCCTCTACTTCTCATTTTTGAGCAAACCAAAACTTCATTTTCTTTTTTTTCTCAAAAATCTTGTCCTCATTATTTGGATGGGAGCCAGGGACAAGGACCAGCCTTTCGGTATTAAGTTCTTGAAGGGACTTCTGTTCCTTCACTTAATTCTTTCTTCCTGTACTTCAGAATCCCTATGTGCCATTTATGGAGTGAACCTCTTCCTAACAATAAAACCCACTGAGATTGGTAGTGTCTCCGTTTGTCCAGTGAGGACACTGAGACCCCAAAACGTGGGAAATCATTTCCTCTAGGTCAGAACTGAAAAACAGACCCTTTTGACATATAAGGGATTAATAAGCTTTGATTTCTCTTAAAGGATTAAGTTATTGCATTTCTTCAGAAAAGAGGCTGGTTTTTCTTCCTATTTTGCCATCTATGCTAGTTACTTTTGTTGTTATTTTCAGTGCTGGGGATTGAACCTGGGGCCTTGTGCATGCGAGGCAAGTACTATACCGCTGAGCCACATCCTCAGCCCCCATGGTAGTTACTTGATAAGCATTTGTTCCTAAATGATAGATGGAACTTCCTGCATCCAGAAACATCCTGTCCCAGGAGCCTGAAGCTGCTCAAAGTTCTGCTGAGTACTTTAAGAAGCACCAGGCACCAGGCTAAGCACTTGAAATATGTAATCTCTTTTTCAAAAATGGTTCATTGTACTTACAAAGGCCAGTGGCTTTTTTGCCAGAGCCTACAAATGGAACCTGTTGGGATTGGGAGTGGGGGAGCTATACAGAGGAACAAACGCAGAGGGCAGCATGTGTCTGGGTGGGAAGGGCAAGGCCTTGGGTTAACTCTTGATTCTCTTATTACCTGGGAGTTTGGGAAAGTTCCTTTGTGTGTGTGTATGGTTTATTATTATTATTTTTTTAAATCTCAATTTTGTCAAATAAAGATACAGTCCCAATACCTCCGAGTTGTTGGGAGAGTACATCATGTTACTCAAACAACCCAGAACAAAACCTGGCGCCATCTTGCTCTTTGTCCACTATATTTCTCCTTTGCTGAGCAAGATCATGACTGGTCCTCACAGGAGCAGTATGCGTCCCCCCTGCTCTGTGGATGATGGCCAACCCTTCCCAGGAACCAAAGCAAGATACAGAGGTTCAAGAAAACATTGGCCACCAGATGGGAAGAAGTTTCCATCCCATTCCTTGCCAAACATAGATCTGCTGCTGGGAAGCCAGAGCATGCCAAGAAATGACTGTAGCCCAGACCACTTTGTTTCATTGCAAATTCATTGTGTTTAGATTATGACTAAACCATTTCTCTTTTGTCTCTGCCCAGCAACCATGAGCACTTGTAGATCTGACAGCCTGCCTGAGCATCAAGTCTTACTGATTTTACAAAGGGAAAGGGATTTTTCCAAGGGTTCAGTATGCGTTTTCAATTGAGGTATGAAATTGTTCCTCAGAGCAGCTAAATTTGCCCTAGATTTGGGGTATTGTCATATCATCAGTATGTATTTGCTCAGGGATCTGTCAGAAAAGGAAGACGACAGATTTGACTGAACGGTACTTCTCTGAGACTGAGGTGGGGGCAGGGAGGCCTGAAGGGCAGGAAGACATAAGATATCTTTGCATTTTATCGCCCTCTTCTAATCACCCCTGCTAATCACCTCTGCAAGAAGGGGGTAAGCCCAGCTTTTGGTTCCATCCCAGAGTGAGGTTTCTGTTGTTAACTGGTTTCATCCTTCTTCAGGAAGCTGAGAGGCGGTGTTCTCAAAGTGTGGCTCTCCAGGACACCTTAATCAGAATCCCAGAGTGTTTAAAATGTTTAAAATCCTCATTTCTGCCTTCATCCCATTCCTGCTGAAGTAGCCTGCAAATTATTGGGAATCTTAACCGCATATGGTGGTGCACGCCTGTAATCCCAGCTACTCAGAAGGCTTAGGCAGGAGGATCACAAGTTCAAGGCCAGCCTGGGCAATTTAGACTCTGTCTCAAAATTAAATTAAATGGTCTGGGGATGTAGCTTAGTGGTAGAGCATTTGTCTAACCTGTGCCAGGCCCTGGGTCCAATCCCCAGTACCACAAAAAAACTAAAACCAAACCAAAACAAACAAACCCTACAAGCTTAGATAAGTATGGATTGAACTCCGGACTCCAGCTCTGCTACTTTTGCTTGTAGACTTGGGACAGGTTATTTAATCTCTCAATTTTATCAACTGTGCAAAGAGAATGCTGAGCAGTCAAGGGATATGGAGCATGTGTGCTTGTTATAAGGAAGAAATGAAATCAATGTTCAGCAATGTTTGGCACATAGTCAACGCTCAATGTGCGGGGGAAGGAGAAAACTTTCCCGCCATGCTCTAATGGCTCAATAAAACTGACAACAGACAGATTAACAGGAGCAAAGATACACAAATTTATTATGTGCACATGTATAGGAGTCTCAACAATAAGAGATTCAAAGAGCGGCCAGATGATGGAATATTATAAATGTTCTGAACTACAAAAGGGAAAAGGGGGGGCTGGGGTGTGGCTCGCCTAGCATGTGTGAGGCACTGGGTTCAATCCTCTGCAACACATAAATAAAATAAAATAAAGGTATTGTGTCCATCTACAAATAATTTTTTAAAAAAAACTAAATAAATAAAATACAAAACAGGGCTGGGGATGTGGCTCAGTGGCGGGGGGGCGAGATGAAAGGTAGAAGTTCATGATGAACAAATGGTGTCCTGATAGGAAGAGATAGTTTCTCTCAAGTGATAAGCAGCCCTCACATTAGGCTCTGGCCCATGACAAAGTCTGGGCATCCACCTTCAGCCTTCTCCTGGGTGCATTAATCTTCCTTTGATTCCTGGGTTCCTTTTGGAGGATCTTCCTTTGGGCAGATAAGGGAACTTAGGGAAAGTCTCTCCCTGCATAATGCAGCGGGGGAGGGGGTTGTGGAGCAGAGGGGCAAGAGACAGTGACGGGGAACAGACAGAAGTGAGCAGTGGGAGCCTGGGGTTGAGGGGATGATTCTATAAACCAGGCCTACTGGGCTGACGCCTACCAGCTTTCTTTTAAAAATACATTTACCTGGGTCCCTGCCTGGCCTAAGTCAATAGATAAGTTACATTCCTCAGCAAACAGAACATTACCTGCCGGAGAAATGCAGTCACTAAAGTCTCCTCCCTGCTGATAAGAAGAATGCAAGCTACCCTGAGGAGTGGACTTTGTGACCTTTACACAGACCAGACTCCAGGGGTCAGGGAGACAGGATAATTAGAAGAAGCAAAGCCCCCTACCCACAAAATCTGTAAGAACAAGTTCCAATTAGACCTGGTTAGCACGGGATAAAGTGACCTAGAGTTGCTTGGATCTTTAGCATGTCATTATAATAGTATAGTCTCCTTTCCATGGGAGAAGACCACAGGCAGCAGAGACTTGAAATTCTGATGAAATCCTGCTGTCAGTCAAAGTCAAGAGGTGGACCCGAGAGGGACTCTGTGGCAGCTTCTCTGGGACCCCCAATAAAACAGGAGGGCAGGAGGGGCATGCCACTGTTCTTCTCTCTGAGAGGATCTACTCTTTCCTTTGAGAGTGTCCTCTTTCACTCTTTTCCTAGACCTTCTAACTAACTCATGGCTGCTACTCTATGTGACATGTCCGAAATCTTTCCAGCATGATTGCAAGAACGAGTACCCCAGGACCACCCAGTTGCCTTGGCTCCACAGTGGGCTCTTGTTCTGAAACAACAGGGGCACAGGAGAAGGTCAGAGACAGCTTGGCTCTTCTTTAGTTCAAAACACTTAGTATGCCAGGGTGACTACTTTCGGGCTATCAATTTCTGAGCCCCAATAAATACATGATCACTCTTCTTTTTATATAACACCTACGCTCAAAAAAAATCTTAGGACCCTACAAGATATACTTGATAAACATGGCCATCGCGGCCAGCGCCAAGATTCTTCTGTATTATCCACTGCTACAGATTTTGACAAATTTACAGACCCAGCAACCAGAACTGAGGTTTCATGAGCCATACGAATTCCACCAGGGTTCACATGTGATCCTCAACAGTAGGCCAGCCAGAGAGGGCAGCAGGAGAATAGCCACAGCTATTCTCATCCCGAGGCCCAGGTGTTGTAGGCAATTGCTGCAGTGTGTCCAGGTTGTCACTCATTTCAAAAGACTCCAAACTTGGGGGAGAGAGGTATGGCAGCATGGGTTACTAGTGGGTGGTGGCTGTTTGTCAGCCTCTTGGTTTGTATGGATTATTCACTGTGAGAAACATGCTCATCTACCAGCCTCAAAGAATGGGCTCAGAGACACCACGGACAGGAAAAAAAAAAAAAAGCAAGACTTTAATAACAGCCTTTCAAGATCGGGTGCCTGGTAGTCAGGGGTCCCCAGAATGG